TATATATATATATATATATATATATATATATATATATATAAAGCTAAAATGTCTACAGAATATAATTTACATCTTGAATTTATAAAGTATTTTCTTTAAGTCAAAAATTTCAAATTTGATATTATTCCATAATAATAATATTATATATGAATTTAATATTAATAATATTTCATATTTACATAATTCAATATGATCGATTAAAATTGAAATTAAATGTAATCAATATTTGATTTGTAAATATTTAATATTTTATTTATTTTAAAATACTATATATTATATTTTACATATGCTTCAATGATGCTATATATTTATAATATAATTTTAATTAATACATAAAATTTTATATGCCTTAATATTTAATTATAGAATTGTTTTAAAAATGCTAAAGAGATAAAATTAGAAATTCATAGGGCTCTATGAAAAATATAGTCGGTTCTGAGAAAATTACCGGGAAGGTGCGCACGCATCCAAGTCAGCCAGGGTAAACTAATGAAAATATGATTATTCCTTGCTGAACTGTCGAACTGTTTAAATTGTGTGTAGGAATCAATTTAATTCTATAAAGAATACATACAATTTTATTGTCTATCTATATTAATATATACCATTTTTATACTTAAATTTGTTTTTCTCGAATAGTGAATAATAAAAAATGGTGTCCGGTGGAATGGCTTGCATTAAATACCTGACGTTTCTTTTCAACCTAATATTCGCAGTAAGTACTCCATGTTTTCCTTCCGACTTATATTTTCTTCCATAAGCTTTAATTGTATTTGATGTTCTTTTCTTGATATTAATTCTAATATTATTATTACAATTTTAAATAAATTAAAAAGAAATAAAATAACGATTTTAATTTTATTTGAAATTTGTTATAATGATAATAGAGAATAAAGAATAATTTAAAATGATTATAATAGATAGTAGACATACAATACATACAATAATTGTCGTTAAACGAAAACTACTTTCGATTTATTTTTATATTTATTATTTACATTTAATTCCAAAGATATGCAGATTATATTTGATTTATACAAATTATGCAAATTATTATTTGATTTTATTACGAAATTTAAATTTTTAATATTAATAATTTCAGTATTGATATAAATACGATACATATTTATCTTAAAACGATAAAATAAAAAATAACAAAATTTTTGTCAAAATACAATTAATTTTTCATTTAAATTTGTATTTTTTAAATATATGAAATATATTTTATTATTTGTTTTAATTCAATTGTTAAAACATTAAATATTTTTTATTTGTATATATTTATATAATTTTAATATATGCAAAATAAGTTATTAGATTAAAGATTAGTTATTTTTATTATTATTTATTAATTTAATTATATTATTATTAACTTAATGTTATTAAATTTGTGTTATAATATTTAATAATTATAGATAAGGAAAATAATTTATTAATACATTACAATAAAAATTAAATGTAACATTAAATAAATATATTTTCAAATATTTGTTATTTTTTTTAATATCATTAGTCAAATTATGAGAGTTTTAATATTTCTTTAATATTGTTTTATTATAATTAATAATTAATAATTATAATATTATTTTATTATTATATCAGTGAAAATAATTGTCAAATTGTTTTGATTACAGATAACTGGAATTGTATTTATTGCTGTTGGTACTGTGATCTTAGTAGTTTACAGTGGCTATAATAATTTTATGGACAGCTGGTTCTTTGCAGCACCAATATTAATAATTATAGTAGGTGTTATTGTATTTATTGTGTCATTCTTTGGTTGTTGTGGTGCAGTCAAAGAAAATCATTGTATGATAATAACGGTAATGATTATTTATTATTTATGTAATAATTTTTTTTTATATCAGAATATTTTTTAATTACTTAATTATAATAAATATAAATTTTCAAGCGAAATTAAATTCATTTTGATTTAAAAGAATTTTTACTTTTAATAATAAAAAAAATAAAATAATATAATAATATAAACTTTTTTAATGCAGTTTTCTGTATTACTCCTCTTAATCTTTGCACTTGAACTTGGTGCTGGGATTGCTGGATATATGATGCGTGGAGATGTACATACAATGGTAGAAAATCGATTAAATACTACTATGAAAGAATATACAACCAATGATGATATTCATAGGTCTTGGGATATTATGCAACATGATGTAAGTACATATAACTAAATTCATTTATCAATGAAATATAGAAAAAATAGATATATTGAAATATAATAATCTTATATTCAGAAATAACTATATATTTTATACATAATATTTTTATGACCTTACATTATTTGTATTTTCATAGAATTAATTTTTTAATAATTTTTCACATATTCTTAATAATAATAAAATTAATATTACTAATATAAAATATTTATTAATATTAAAAAATATGTATATTGATTTAAAATATTTACAAAAAGATAATATTTATATATAATTAAATTATTATTTTAATTAAAAATTCATTATAATAAATTAAAAATATTGATGGATTTAATTTTAATAAATATATTCTTAAGATAAATTATTAAATTTTAGTTACAATGTTGTGGAATAATTGGTGCAATAGACTGGACTCATGTTGGATTCTCAGACAATATTGTACCAAATTCTTGCTGTAAAGAAGTACCAGAAGGAAATAAATGTGATTCAAATTCAATTCATATACATTCAAATGGTTGTATGAACAATCTTCAGTCTGCTATTGAGCATAATGCTTTGATTTTGGGTGGTGTAGGCATCAGTATTGCTGTTATTCAGGTAATTTTTGTTTATTTTGATTTGAAATATTTTCAAATATCATATAATTTTAAATATATATTATATATATAAAATAATTAAATATTTTTATTAAATTAAGATACTAAAGAAATAATTTTTTAAAAATATTTATTAAAAACATAACATTCATGAAATAATAATCAAAATATAATACTTTTTATTTTATATGTATATTATGTACAGTAATTTATATATAATTTAATATTGATCATATTTATTACTTATTATTATTATATAAATTTTGTTAAATGAAAATAATATTAATGAATTTAAATGTTTAAATAATAGAAATATAATAAATTTTTTTTATTTCAGTTAATTGGTGTGATCTTTGCATGCTGTCTGGCACGTTCAATTCGCCGTGAATATGAAACTGTGTAAGCAGACAGATATCTCCAATTTTAATGCCTAAAAATTGCACCCAAACTTCAGAATATGCTATCTTTCTTTCACTCTTATGTATT